AAATGCCCATGTCTGTGCACACCAAAGCTCCAACAGCGCAACGTCCGCACCTGTGCACGCCTCCCAGCCAGGTGAGGCCCTGCTCCCAGCAGAGGAAGGCCTCAGAGAGGCCGCGCTGGCAAGTGGGAGGGCATGGCAGGGGGCAGGCAGGGCCCCTAGAGGGCATGGGCCCTGCCTGGCTAGGTACAGGGCCAGGGAGGCACCTTCCCCGACGCTTTCCATCACAGCTCCCCTCGCGCCTTGATGCACTCGCTACAAATGCACTCATCAGCTGCTGTTTACCGCGGGCAGGACACTCTGACGAGCGCAGCTATTACGGCCGTCCAGCTGCCACCCACAAGCGCACGTAGATATACACCCATCACAGTGCTTCTCCCCACTGGCCCCACCCTCCTTTCCCACCGCACAGTCCCTCACAAGAATGTTTCAATTACCCAAACATCCCAGCTCTTGATAGAAGTCAGCTCCCAACCCAGGACCACAGATAACACGTCTATTCCAAGGGCCCTTCCAGGTGGAAGCTGCAGAGCCCCCCGGAGCAGGCCAGTGTGCCGGCCTACCTTCCAACCAAGTCCAGAATTCCAGGCTCAGGCTCTGGGCACTGCCCTGCCCCTTCCACAGGTCCCATGCTATCTGCCAACTCCCTTCCAGCCCTTGGGGAATTCTGCTGGGTGAGACCAAAGCTGGGCCCTCCAGACATAAACTGGACAGAGCCCAGCAAAACTGCCCCTGCTGCCTGGAAGGACAGGGACCTCTGTGACCATGGAATGGGCACAATCTGCCTGGCACCACTGGCTGGGGTTCCCTGGCAAGGCAGGGCCTGGCACGGGCTGGCTCCGGCACCTGGCCAGACCAGTGACCACCCCAACAGAAAGAGCTGACCTCACCAGCCACACGTGCCACCTGCCGGGCCCTGCCCATGGCTCCACGCAGGGTGGCCTGCGCCCACCTGGGATGCCTCAGTGCCTCTGAGGAGCCTGTCCAGTTGGCTTCTCTTCCAGCCAAGAGTCCCCTACTCAGAGGACTGGGCTCCTGCCCCCTGGAGGCCCTCTCACCACTCCTTCTGTTGTTCTCAGCCTCACTCCCCTGGGGGAAGCCGTTATTGAAAACGGTCCATCAGATTCAATAGGATTCAAAGTCCCTGAGAGAAGAGTGGGTGGGAGGGGAGAAGGGTGGGGGAAAGGAACCCCCCAGTTCTCTGCCTTTCCCCCAAGACCTCCGGCAACAGCAGGGCGGAAGAGGGTGAGAAGGGCACAGCCCTCCACTGGCACTTCACTGGGCCGGAGCTTGGGGTCAGCCAGAGGCAGGGACCAGCTGCCCAGGGCCTGCTTTTGCTCACCTGACACCCACCTGCTGCTCTGCCTTCCAGCTGTCCCTCAGCTGTCGCCTGATGCCCTGCATGTTCCCACCCCAGTCCAGCCTGCTCAAATTCCTCCTCCCTAAACAGGAGGGACTTTGATGCTATTTCCCTCTTTTCCATCCCCCGGCCCTTGGTCAGTGCCACTAAACAGCATGACCCAGGGCCAAGGAGGGTCCTGTCTTCACTGCGACACACAGCCTCTGTCTAAGGCCCACAGAAGCCATGCCTCCCAGCCAGGGTTCCAGACCTGCTCGGCCTCAAGTCCACCTCTCAGCCAGGCCTGTTGGGAGATCATTGAATCTTTAGTCCCAGACTCTGACCCCAACCCAGGATGTAAGCCAGGTGGTCTGGACCCGTGCAGATGGGGCAGGTGGGGGGCAGGGGTGGAGGGCCATGTGGGGGTGGGGGGAGATTGTCGGTGAAATGGTCCATCGGGCTTCCTTAGAAGCTCTGGCTGCTAATCGTGGTGGCCCTCACAGTACGCCCCTGATCTGCCCTTTCAGCCTCTGGCCTGAACTTGTGCCCAGTGGGCAGAGGTTGGTCTGGACAATCTCTTGGCTCCCTCTGCCTTGAGAGAGGAGACCCACATGCCCAGGCTCCTGCCCCATGCAGTATGCCTCCCATACTCCCTAGGAGTGACCTGCCTGGCAGAGTTGCTGTAGGAGGCAGAGCCCATTAACAGGTGGGACAGGTGAGATGTCAAGCAGGCCATCCCCAGGGACAGACTCCCAGAGGGCTGGGAGCAGGGCAGGTAGCCCTCAGGACCTCACCTCTCTCCTGGTGGCAGGGGTGATGCTGCAGTGGCCCAGACTTTCCCCCTCTGGCCTTGCTTCCACGCTCACTGCAAGGTCACCTCTCCCTCCCTCTCTCCCTGATGCCATCCTGCCTGCCCACTGCAATGCTGACCCCTGCAGGCCTGCTGAGGCCCTGCCCGGCCTGGGGACAGGTGGTCCAGGGACACAGGGAGGCCAGGCCAGGCCAGTTTCTGGATGAACAGAGGATGAAGGCTGAGAGCAGGGAGAGGGCTGCAGGGCCAGGGGAGGGAGCAGAGGGGAGACTGCAGGCATGGCTAGGGGAGGCTGGGAAGGGTTGAGGAGAGGTCGATGGGGGTGTGTGGGTGGGGAGCTGGTCTCCATTCCTCAGTGGGCCTCGGCTTCTTCCCACAGTCCCTTGCTTCAGTCATGATAGATTTGGGAAAGAACTGTCTAGGGGCCAGGCCGAGAGGGGAGGGAACTGTACCTGTCCACCATCCTATTGGGTAAAGGTCTTAGTGGTAGGCTGAGCCCTGTGGGGACCAGAATGAGTGGGCTGAGGGATGGGGTACCACAGTGACACTCTGGAACCAGCCTAGGACACTGGGGAGCAGGAGAGGTCAGGAGATTCAAATGTGTACAAAGGATGAGGCCACAGGTGTTCCTGAGAATGGGATGAGGGGATCAAGACCTAAAACCACTGGCCCCTGGGGGACCAGAGGGCAGGCCTGAATCGCACTGGAATTAATTTGTATATCTCACTCCCACCTAGTGCCAGACAAAGGGGCAATGGGGGAACAGAATAGGGGACACATAGCCCTGGCTGGGGAACCTGAGTCTGGAGGGCCTGGGGTAAGCTGGGGCTGGGGTTCTGGCCTGGCGCTATAGGGATTTTAGGAGGTGGCAGGGGTGCCAGGAGCATGGAGGACAGTTGAGGTATCTGGCCATCAGGAATCCCTCAGGAATCAAGATCAACTGCAGACTCTGTCCCCTCCAATTCATTTCTGACCCCTGTAGCTGCAGGAGAAGTGGGCAAGATATGTCTCCACCCAAGACAGGGGGGCCATTGCCCCACACCGGAGGAAAGGTCTGGGGACTGCCAGTGTGCTAGGGGCCTTTTGGCCAGAAGATGCCAATCACATCAAGTTGGCCTCCAAGGAGAGGGCAGAAGTTCTTGGAGGAATGGTGATGTCATGGTGTCCAGGTGTGGGAGGGAACTGAGGAGGGAGAGAGCACCAGGGCATGGCCCTAGACCTCTGGCCTAACAGGAAAGGGGAGACTGCCTGCCTGACAGGGCAGGGGGGAGGGGCGTGTCCTCACTGCCTCTCCCCTTCCGTCCTGTACCCCAGAGCTGGTCTCTGAACTAAGCTACTGGCTTCTGAGCGGGCGATCCAAGCAAGAGAATGCCTCTGCCCTTGGTCCAAGTGCTGGAAGCTGGCAGTCTCCTGGGGGGAGACACCAGGATAAGTGACCTGGGTCCAGACAAATGAAGAGAGGGGCCTCCAAAGGCAATGTCCCTTCAGCCATCACCTAGAGGACATTCATAGGTGGGCATGAGGTTCCAGAGAGGGAGACTGAGTCCCTTTCCTCCTATACCCAAGTGCTGAGTAGATGCACTGCCTGGTACCCAGTAGGTCCTCCTCAGTGGACTCTGGCTGCAGTGACAGGATGGGGGTGAGAGCTGACTCTTCAGGAGGCAGGGACAGGCTGAGGCCGCCCCTCGAGGGAAAGAGCAAACGTGGAGCCAGGGCAAGACTGGGCAAAGCCAGTGCCCACTGTACTGCCCTCAAAAGCCTTGGGGCTCTAGGCCCCTCCTGGGAAAGGCCTTAGAACTGTTCCTCCTCCCAGTACCCCCCAGCCCCGGAGGTGAACAGGCTCTTCATCTGTGGGAGCAAGTCCTCAGACTGAGGTGCTGTGCTTTTAGCATCAGAGAGAAACCCAGAAGCGGACACCTTGCTGCCAAAACTGGCAGACTGGGGGTGCTGGGTCTGGGGTGGAGCACCCCAGGTGACAGCTGAGACTGAGCCTGGGCAGAGTCTGCAGGGGACCTGCCTACAGGTGGGCACCGTGTGAGGAGGCGTCCCGAGTCAAGGAGGAAATGGCAGAGCAATTTTCCAAGGAAGGAGGAAAGATCCCTCAGCTTGGCCTGGAGGATGCCAAGCAGACGTGGGCTCCCAGGCCACTCCCCAGCTTGGCTGGGGAGAAATGCAAAGGACCACAGCCCTTCCCCCTCCCTCCCCCGACAGGACTGGAGTTTGGGGTTCTTTGCCTCCCCCCTCCCCAAGCCTGGGAGAGCATTCCCCTGGCACCCCCATTCTCACCAGCCTCTGCTCTCTTTTCTTTCAGGCACTCCTACCTGCCTCTTCAATGCTCCTGCGGCTCTCCATCCGTCAGAAGCCCCCTCCCCTGCTGCTGCACCAGGTTCCCACTGCCCCCTGGCACCTTTTCAATTCACAGTTGGCACTGCCGATGTCACTCCGCCTCCCCGTGCCCACAACCTTGGCCGAAAGCTGCCCAGGATCCTTGCCCTGTGTTCCGCTAGTGCTGGCACTGGTGCTGGGGACCCGGGGGTGCCTCTGAAGGTACTGCCCAGCTCCCGCAGGGGCAGCGGCTCCTTGCTCCGCCACCCACGTTGTCCTTGGGCTGCTGGGGGGTGGGGGGAGGTCCTTGTGGGGACACTGCGAAGCCGGTGCCCGGCATAAAGCCTGGCAGTGCCCGGACTGCGGGGGGCCAGGGTCCGAGCCGCTGGGGCTGGTATGACCCTGGGCGCAGTCAGTGCGGCTCCGGAGGACAGCAGCCCTGAGCTGGAGCTCCGAGACGGCGCCCGGCGCTGTCGCCGTCCTGCCCGCCGGTGCGGGGCGCACCAGCCCGCGCGGGGCCGCGCTTACCTGGGCCGGCCGCGTCCGGGTCCCGGTACATGGTCCCCTTGTCGCCGGCTCCCTCGGGGCTCCTTAGAGCCTCCCGCGGCCGCGTGCTACTCCGCCGCCGCTGCAGGGCATGAGGCCGGGCGACCCCCGGGGGCGGGTCCGAGGGCGGGGGCCGCGCGGGCTGCACTGAGCCTCGGAGCCGGGGAGCGGGGGCCGCCCGCCCGCCGAGCACGCTGCCGCCGAGCCGCGCCGAGCCTCCTCCCTCCGGCCTGCGCGCCGCGTGTGCGCGCCGGAGCGTGAGTGAGTGTGTACGAGGCCGTGTGTATGTGTGTGTGTGAGCGCGTGTGTGAGCGCGCCCGGGGCACCGCCGGCGCCGCCCGCCCGCTGCCGAGCGCTGCTGCCACCGCCACCGCCACTGCCACCGCCACTGCCACCGCCCTCCCTGCATCTTCACATGGTCTGTGTCCTAATCTCTTCTCATAAAGACACCAGTCATACTGGATTATGGCCCACCATAATGANCAGCCCGCGCCCGCCGCCGCCCGGAGCCGCCCCGAGGGCGCCGCCGCCGCCCCGAGTGCCCCGCCCGCCGCCAGTCTGAGCGCAGCCCCTGCGGGGAGGGCACAGAGCCCTCCGGCTGGATTCTTCAACCCTGCGTTTCCCGTTGCACTGTGCGACCACTCCGGTCCGTGAGCCCCTGATGGCAGCGGCTTCGAACCCCGCAGCGTCGCGGAGCCGGCCGCCTCCTCCGAGGTGCCCTTTGACTCCGTTCCAAAAGGCGAGGAAATCCACTCCGCGTTTTCCACCTGGTGGCGGTTCGAGGGCGTCAGCTCGGGGCTAGATTCCGCGGCCGTCCCGGGAAGCCAGGCTGGTGTGTGCAAAAACAAGGAGTGGATTTTTTGCCAGCGCTGAGCCTTGGCCCGCCATCCTGGTCATCACCGAGCCCGAACAACCCGAGAAGAAAGGTCTAGGATCTCGATGGGCGACTAGGCCTAGTTCCCTTACCCACTTAACCCAGATGAACAGAAGATGACCTTTTAGCTTTTGCTCATCCCCGTCCCGCACCAGTCCTCCACTGCCCCTTGTCCTTCCTTGACCCCAGCCCTTCTGTGGGTAAGAAGGAAATCCCTCCTTCTCCTTCCAAACCTGGGGGTTCTCTTGGTCCTCTCTGTCCCTCTGCCAACTCAGAACAGTCCAAATCAGGTGAGCCCTAATTCTTTCTCTGCAGAATTGGAAATATTTTGATTCTGGGGCAGGGAGAAGGGGGCCCCTATCCCGAGAACTTTAAAGGCTTAGAACTGAACCATCAATAGTTTCAGGCATAACAACCTCCTTGCACACACCTACATTCCTAGTCAGCCCCCACACACGTACACAGGCACACAAACACACCTCCCATAAAGTGAGATCCAGACACCGAAGTATCACACAGCACAGGGCCTGCCCCTACGCTGAACCAAAGAGGGTAGGCAGCAAGGCAAAACCCCTGGCCTGCCAAATCATCCTGCCCTCCCCTCCACTGAGAATGTAGTTCAAAGGGGAGCCAGGCTGTACAGAATCAAGGATTCCTAATCCCAGCCTGAGAAATCCACTTAACTGACTTCATACTGCACAGCCCACGCCCAGCCAGACCTCCACCTTCCCACAACGCAGTAGGCAGCCAGCACCCTCAGGGACAAATCTCCATCCCAAGTCTCCCCCAACACACATGCACACATCCTCATCCCCTTGAACTCACATGGAGCCTATTATACACACACACACACACACACACACACACACACACACACTCACCTCCACCCACAGCTTTTCCGGTTGAGAAGCAGATAAAGAAATTCCCCAAGCAAACCTCCATGAAGACTGTTCCGGTGGAGAACAGATTTCCTTGGATTGAATGTTCTAATTAAAAATGGAAGGAAAAAAGGCAATTGCAGGTTCTAGCCCATGATTTCCTTACTGGCTAGAAATCTCAGCCGTCATCCCCTGTCAAGGGCCATTATGTTTTACACACCCTGCAGCCATCCTCACCCACATGTAACCAAAAATCCAGTAGCTATTCACATGCCCCTTTTTGGCAAACCCTAGAGAGCCAAGCCAACAGTCTGGGACTCCAAGGTCCCCAGCCTTGGTTGTTCCCACTTCCACCCCCACCTGCCTTTCTTATTGCCCTAATAAAGCAAATGGTGTACTCCTCCCCACTCCCAACTGCCATCATCAGTGGGCACCCCACAGAAAGGCTCCTTGTTCAGGAACCTCTGCACCCATCAATCTGAGAGTCCAGAGGGGCACAGCCGAATTCAACATTGCAATTCAACAGATCTTTCCAAGCACCTAGATCATGAAGTTTTTCAGAGTTGGAGGGCAGAGGACCTCTGAGAGATGATCTGTCACCTCTCAGGTGATGGATGGCGAAGACAAGGCCTCTAGAGGAAAATGAATTTGTCCCAGGGAGCTAAATACTCAGAGCTAACAGCCCAGGGAGCCAGTGAAAGAATTAGGAAAAGAACCCCTGGCCCTGACTCTCAGCCATTTGCCAACAAGTGGGGCCCAGCGCCTGTTCGTATCTGAGAGCTTACAGCCTGTCCCTTACAAAAATAAAATTCCCAATCTCATTCACTCCCAGCAGGCATTAGACAGCCATTGTTGTAAAATGTCAGAGCTGGACAGTCCCTCATATGTACTACATAAATCCCATGAGATAAAGTGGAAACTGAGGCTGAGGAGCATTGGGAATCTTGAGTAGATTTTTATTTCCTCCCTGCATCATTGACACAGAAAAAGCTTGGGAAACATCCTTTGTCTTGGCCCTTGTCTAGGGGAGTCAGCTTCATTGAAAAAAAGGAAAGAATACAGATCTGTGGCTTTGCCATTCATAGCTGTGTGATCCTGGGAAGATTACTTGACACCTCTGAGTCTCAGTTTCTTCATCCACACAGTAGAGATAAAAATAACACTTAGTCCCTTTGATTATTATAAAGATTAAATAAGATGACACAATTAAGACACTTGAAAGGACACTAGGAGATAGATACTGAATGCCATTGTTGTCATTTGTTTCCCTAACAGAGACCCCACATACTCCCCATTCCCATGCTTTGCCTGCCAGGGACGGTCTTCCAGATATCTAACTTCAAACGATCCTGCTGCATTTGAAGGCTACCCTCTCCTGCTAGAGCATCCACAAGAGCCAAGCCAACTGTGAGTTCCTGTCTTCCGAGGGCTCACAGAGGCCTGGGTATAGGCGGGAAATGAAGTCTGCAGGGGCGAGCAGGTCCTCTGAGAAAAGAGATTGGAGGGTGTGAACTACCCCTGTCCTGCCCTCAGGTCCTGTCCCTTTCAAGTTAGGGCCTGGGCCTTTGACATTCCGCCTCTCCCCTTCCCGCACGCAGTAGAGGGGTGCCCTGAGAGCCCTCTCATCTGTGACACCGCTGGTCCCTGTGCCCTAATTCCATGACGTGGCAGGAAATGCTGGCAGCACCTGGTTCCCCAAGGACTGCCACGCTGCTTTCTGTGGACCCCTCAGGCCTGTTTCTGATCTGGTGCTATCACCAGGGCCCAGGTGTCCTGGGCGGGCTGCGGGAGGGATGTGAAGCAGGGAGGGACATTCTGTCCCTCAGGAGCAGATGCCAGGCCTGCACTCTCCTAAACAGGGCCCCCGAGGCCACCGGGCTCTGTTGCTAGGCCACAGCTGGAGGCAGGCTCCTGGTTCCTCCTCTGGCCTCTACCTGGCATGGATGCCTGCAATGCTGCTGTCTCCCCACAGCTCCTGTCCCCCACCCCGCCCCTTTGGCCACTGGCTGAATTATTAATAAAAATGCTGAGGAAGCTGTTTGTGCAGCTCATGTGACCGAACAAACACACCTCTCTCCTTGCCCACCATGCATGTGGAAAAAGACTCAGGCTGAGCATTCAGCTGATCCAGGGAGGGCCAGGCTCTGAGACCACCAGAAGGCAGTGTGAGGGGCCACAGCACAGTCTGCTCTGCCACCTGTCCCTGCAGTAACCCATCTCCAGTCTTCCCCTTCTCCTCTGCAGACAATAAGAGTCAAGCATAAATTTAAGAGACATCATCTCCGCAGAAGGGACTGAACAGCGCACTCCTAGAAGGCAGCTGCAGTCATCTCTGGGTCACCTTTTCACAGTGGAGACTCACTCAGTGCTTGCCGGTCACTTACCTCTTCCTCTCAGACCCAGTAACCACAGAATCTGGGAGGCCTACCCAGAGTCCACACTTGTCACACTTCTGCTGGGCCCTCCTTTACAGGCCTGATGCTAAAGAGGCAGGGATTGTCCACAGCATCCAGGGAAAAGTCCTTGACTTTAAACTCTGGTCCTGTCTCTGCCACTATCTTACTGTTTGGCCTTGTCAGTTACTTGATGTCTCTGGGTCTCCGTTTTCTCTTCCATAAAATAGGGCTAATAATTGCACCACATGGGTATGTGAGAATACACTGGGGAGATGGCAAGGCAAGGACTAGGCATCTTTCTTGGCTCCCTGGGCACCATCCCAGGCACCAAGGACCCTGCCCCATACCCCTGGGTCCCCATTCTACATCCTTGGGCCATGTTGCAGAGCCAGAAACCCATTCCCTACATCCAACTCCACCAGTGTCCTTTCTCCTTGTAACCTCCCTCCTCATCCAGATTCGGCCCTAAATCTCTCTCTCCATGGTCACCCTGAGCCCACCCCTATCCCCACATATGCTTGGCTCGGCCCCTCAAATCCCTGATATCTCAAAAGATGAAAGCTGGTGCCCCTTCTCTTTGCCAGCTTGTGGTTGGGATAGCCCAGCCTCTGTCACAATCATGGCCTTAGGCCTGTTTTGAGATGCTCCCTGTACTTCTCTGGGACAGAGAGCCCTGGGGGCTGGTGAGACCCCCTTCTCAGGATGCACTGTGGAAACACATTGGCCTCTCCATTACAAGCCGCATGGCCTAGGGTAAATCACTCATTTCTTCTCAGCCTCAGTTTACCAGTCTATACCACAAGGTTGTTGGTTTCTAATCTTGATTTGGCCTTGGACTCCTCTGAGAATCTAAAGAGCTTCATGGACCTCCCCTTCCTAGAAAAATGCGTATTCAAATACAGACACAACATCTCACACAAAATTGTGGGGGAGGAGGTTCTGCAGTTCCAGATAAAAATCCCTGACCCAGAGGCCCACAAAGTTGCTTCCAGCTCTGACAGAACTGTCATCTGAGCCCTGTTCTTTGCCCTCCTCATCCTCCCCATGGTGGTTCTTGGGTGATGGTGGGGGTGGCCTGGGGCTCCATCCCCACCATTTCTCCCTCCTGCCTCAGTGGCCTCTGCCCCCAGCACTCAGCTGTGCCTGGAACCAGCTTGCCAGCAGCTCAGACCAGCATTTCAATATCTCTTGGAGCTTATTGAATAGCCTCCACC